GTGATTACGCGACGCCGCTTGCAAATGCGCGGGCGACAAGAGAACAGTGCTATAACAATGTGCGAGGCTTCGCGCCATAAGGACGTCAATTATAATTAATTAGAGCGTAGACTGACAGCGGACGCAAAGGCTACTTAAAGCTCTTTAACTCGTTCTCCAACCCTCCACCCGTTGCTCATTTCCTCCGTTCACACATCATAACTTATATAAATTGAATTTATATTCCAATCTATATTAATTAATAATTTTCTATAATGAAACCAAAAAACAAGATTCAAATATACTTATTGAATATATACCTATTAAGTTAAATCACTTTAAAATCAATAAATGAAAAAAATAAGAGGTCGAAGACTTTTTGGAGAGAAAAATATTCAGGAGCAAATTAAAGTTTTGCGATTGGGTGCGGGTATATATATAAGGCAAGGGTTTTTATGTTATTTTAACGACCTGCCTTCCAAGAAGAACTGTATAATGAAAATGAGACGACCCTTGGAGCCCTTTAAACTTCTTAATTTCATTACCAACTCCTCAGACAGAAAATAATGGCCCGTTAACTCGTGGACCATCTGGCACCATCTTTACTATCTATATAGTATCCAATCGATCGACCGCGACCACTAAAACCATGTAATCAGCAGCTACTAGAATTTACATTCATATATCGATATCTATTCAATTTTGTTTTCGCTTTTAATTAAATTAAGCGCGAAACATTTAACTTCCATATTTTTTATTATTTTTCCTAATTCAGTTGACAAATATTTAAATAAACAAAAAATTCTAACAGTTAAAAATTAGGGTAATTGGTGCATATTTTAAAAATTTCCCCAATCTCGTAAGTTTCTATATCAACTTGTTTTACGCACGTAATCCTATTTAATCCGTTATTTATATAGGAATCATTTTCAAAAATATATATGGGTACAAATCTAAAATATCAAATATCCCACATGAGACGAAATCTATATTCCATGTGGATAAGGTTCTCTATTTCAGAAAAGATCCAAGAAGACGTTAATCAATTTGGAACAGCAAAGTGAAATTCATCACACGTCATCAATATCGTAGATTACATCGGATATATACATATATAACTGGTACCAGCAGTCTAGAGAGAGAGAGTCGTGAGCCAGTAGCCATTTTGAAAGAGTCCAAATCTAGAGATCAAATGCGAATTTCGTAAGAAGAGCAACCGCGTATAAGAGGTCTAAAAAAAAAAAAAAAAGAAGCAGGGCATTAAAAAAAAATTGGTGGAGGTGGTCCACTACATATATACCAAAAGTGAAACAGAGCGAAAATAGAGAGAAGAGGAAGAAACAAAGTAAAAGTGGAGACAGAGGGAGAAGGGCAGCAGCTTTTGGCTCATTGGGCAGCCAAACAAATTCGTCGCGACGCGTCCGACATCCCCGCGTGGATTACGAAGAACCCTCGCCTTGTGGGCCCAGAGTTCGGTACTTGTATGTCTGTGTGTATATATATAAGAGGGGAAGGGGGATACCCTCTACCACCTTATCTTCGACATCGATCGAGCTTCCTTCTTAACGGACGACCGGACACCAACGTTCACCAGGTTGTATCCACATACGCTCTTCCTTCGAAACGAGACCGAAAACGCCAATCGAATCCGACGCGTGAAAACTACGGCCAGCTGACCAGCGACGAAGAAGTCATACAACTGAAAATAAACCCTTTCTTCTAATTATAAAACTACCGACAAAATATTCCTTTAAAATCATTATATATATATCGCACGAAGAGGAAGAATTACATCCGTACTTTTAATAAAGTCGCATTCACTATGCCGATAATAGCCTGCAATCTGATAATATATTCTACTATCCGCTAGTCAGTCCAAACTTACGATCCTATCGAAAAGCATGCCGTTTTTGAAGAAAGTGCTATTTCAAAATTCAAAAATAATTTCTCGTAATTTAGGTTCTAATGCAGATTTAAGAAGAAAACTGCTTCAGTATAGCTCTTCTCAACCGATGATATAATTTTAGCATAAAACCGCGAGGAAAATTAAAAACTACAGCATATTTATAGCAATGTATAATATTTTTAAACCTGAAAAAATACAAGAGGCGGTAGATTGAAAAGAGGGGCGTATATAATTTGCCATGTTCTCCACATATAATATGCGATGTTAATATAATGGAATATTGGGTTGTCGTCCCATAAATCTTGCTCCTGGGCAAAATGTTATATTTTATTATTCGATCGTTAATCCACACATGTATTCATCATCATCATCATCATTATCATCATCATCGCCACCATTATCATATATAATAATCGTCATATTCATTTTTATGTCTTTTTTGGCTTTATATTTTATAACGCCGCTTCATCTTTGCCTTTTGGAATTTCGTATCATCATCAACCCTTTTGAAACCTCATATAACTCCAAAGAGCGAGTAAAAATAAACCTGATAATTCAGAATCCTCAAACATCATATCTATTATAAATTTTTGAGTACAATTACGAGGTTAATCACAAGAATATAGGAGACAAAGCAAAATGAAGACATTGGAGGATCTTGTGTTCTTGACGATTGAATTGAATCAAGGCGCCCGGATCGCGTCTTTTTTCCACTGTTTTTTAAAAGGGGGGTTGTCAAGCAAAACAGAGACAGTCGACGCCGACGAGAAGGAGCATAGTGGAAAAAAAGAAGAAAAAAAAGAGAGAGTGAGTGAGAGAGAGAGAAAGATGACAGAGGGTGGGGAACAGAGAGCGAGGGCGAATGAAGCTCGTGTTTCCGCCCGGGCAAACAACAATACCCGCAGACAAATGAGCATCCCGCCTCCATTGTTTGCATCCATTGGCATAGTGTACAGCCTCTCCTTATTCTCCCTCCTTCTCTCTGTTGATTCTCTTCAAGTTTAAACCCCCTCCCCTAAGTCCCCTTGTTATATACCATCAAGTCCCCTTTTTTGCCCCAACGAAAACCCCCAGGCCCTCCAAACACCCAACTGGGGGGTCCCCGATCAACCTGATGCGGGCCAACACCGATTAAACGTCGTTGCTTCGTCGAATCTCTATCAACGGGGCCTCGTTCGTCTCCGATTATCACGAAACAATGAATTCTATCCCCATCCCTCGATTGTTCACTTATGAAAAAATTTATTATATATCAACATTCTATTTTCAATCATTGTTATTATTTATACACTGATTTATTTATTTACATTAAATAATTATTGAGTTTTTATTATTTTCTTAATACTGAAATAATATAACAATTATTGTTAAACAACAAGAGAAAAAAAAATATAATATCCAATTCCATATAAAATTCTTCTCTAGTTTCAACAAAATATATGTAAATTAATTAATAATATAATTGCGATAAAATTATACTCATATATACGAAAATGATATACAATGCGTTAATATTTCGCGTTATAGTCCGCAGAATTATCAAGTAAATATTTATTTATGTTAAATAATTATTATTTGAGTCAATTAAATGATATTTGTTTTAAATACAAAAATTATTGAAACAAATACAATTTATGTAACCAATTACTTGAATCAAATAAAATTTTTCTTTTTTTAGTATAATTGAATGTTTGCTTATTTTATTGTGAATAATAATATTATTTAGTTTAATACGTGGAGCCAAAAATATTGATAAAGGGAGCAAAAATACAACCCCTCTATCATCATCGAGACAATATCACATCGTTTGCAATTATTCAACCATCTTACTTCCGCGAAAAGAAGAAAAAAAAAAGAAGCCCATAGGGGAAGTTAAAGCCGGGTGTGGTCGATGACTGATATCCGGTGAGATCTACGAACCAGAACTGTAAAAGCAACTATCGACAACCGAAAGACAATTATTATTGAGACGATAAGGAAGATCATATTAGAATTTAAAAAGAAATCATTCAAATCACTTTAAAAAAAAGTACAAACTACTTAAACAAAAACCAACTAAATTTTCGAAAAAGTAGAGAAAAAACAGAATTTCAAGAAAGTATTTTCTGTGTTGAAGGTGCTCTAATTATAAAGTTATAAATATATATATATATATGAAACATAATATCTTAAACCTTTTAGTTGTTATCCGCGCCTGACTTATTTTTCGATAATATGAAAAGCGGGTCCATTGACCATTTGGTGTGCATGTACGCATGCGTGAACAGCTAAGAAGGGACCAGATGTCGTGCGGCGATCGACTTTGGGACCACCGGTTCCATTCATATGGGCCCAAGGCCCCTGAGCACCTTATGCCCTTGCTTGATCAAGAATCAGGACAAGTCTCTCTCTCTCTCTCTCTTTCTCTCTCCTAGATCGTGGAAATTTGATACCAAATTCATGTCTATATATATAAACCTATATCATCAAAAAAAGGCGTGTACCTTTTTCCTATCAATTCTCTACTTAGAATTTATAACAATAAAAGGTTTAAAAAAAAAGACCTTACAATCATTATTCAATTCAATGATATTGATCTCAATGGAACAAACATTTAATAACAGAAGGGAATTTCGCTTCAACGAATTTTCTGTTTTCTTCAATTGATCCTGACATTTCCTTCTATTTTTCCAATTTCTATCAATTTATATTGAAATCAACGCAATTTTTCCAACGTTCATTTTTTGGAATAGTCAAGAACCATCAATACGACTCAATTTAAAAAAGAAAAAAAAAATGAACATCTCTGTTATGTATTCTTTAAAAAAATAAGACTCAAATTTATATATATATATATTGATCATTTATTTTTTTAAACGCGTTTCAAATTTCTTCAATTCATCATTAATTTCCTCATAGGTTTGTTCCACCATATCGGATAGAATTAAATTATCGTTTCTAAAAGTAATTTATCGTGTAAATAAATAATTTTTTTAATTCATAATATTAAAAAAAGCAAATAAAATATTTTATATTAAATTAGTTGCTTAGTTTAATTAAATTAATATTTTTCTTTCAAATAAATTCATAAATATGTGTAAAAAAAATTTACTTTTTTTTAAATGAATTTTTATATTCGCATCTGCTGAGAGCAACTTTGTCCAATCCAAATTTTTTAAATAATAATTTCTCCTTGTACCAAATATTTTCATCTTTATCCACTTTTTCACTATCTAATGATTTATCTTTAATCTTAAATGATTTAGCATCTATATATAAATAAACCCCAATTATTAAAACTTTAATGGTTCCATTATATTCCAAAAATTGAAATATTTTTTTTAAAAATGCAAATACTAAAAGATAAAAAAAACACTTAAAAAAGTGTTAAAAAAATTTAAAAAAATATACAATTTTTTAAAAACTCACCATCTGCTTTTTTCTCCACTTGATACGGTTTAATATCATCCTGTGATTCAATAAATTTCCAAAATTCATTGATTTTTTCAGCTTCACTTTTACTGGTTGTTTTTGTAAAAATAAGTTCCATGGACACGTTATTTCTTCCACTCATCGTTTCATTAAAATTCTTCAATTCCTGAAATCAAAACAAATAACATTATTATTAATAATTAATTAATAAATAATTATTTTAACTATAAGAAATATATTAATTTTAACAAATAAATAAATTTAATATAATTAAAATTATAAAATATAACCTAAATTTTGTCAATAAGAATCTAAATATTTCTGTTTTTTAATTATACGTTGATTATTAATAATAATATTTAATAATCGTAAATCAGAATATAAACATAAATAAAAATATTCCAATTTTAATAAATTAGGTAAACATTAATAATCATCTTTAATTATAAAATGAGTAACAATCAACTAACACTAAAACTTTGTTGTAAACAAATTTAAGGTTAGAATGTTAAAAATATAACACTCACAGTTGCAAACAAAATTAAAACACACTTCAATATATCGCACAGTAAAAAAAACTAAATTCAGTCAACTTATATATACTTATTTTCAATTCTAACTGAATTTTATATTAAAAACTATGTTTTTGATACTTTTTTCAAAGTGCATGTTGAAACTACAAATGATCAAAACAAAACAAACCTCCATAATCAAAACAGCAATCAATTACCTAATACAAATTAAATACAATTACTAAAAATGTAAACATAACCAATAAAAAATAATTTTAAAAAGTATAAGTAAAACAATTTCTTAATAACAAAACTCTATTTGCAATTTATAATTTATAAAAACTTGTAAAATAATTCTTCCCTTTAATTCATTCTGGCGCATGCGCATATGAGAACCACCTTCAGAATGGCGCGAAATTCAAAAAGCGATCTCTCAATTCCAACAAAAAAAATAGACATCATTTCTTATATTTAAAACACAAAAACAATAATTAAAATTTTTTTACATAATAAAATTACTTATTACCACTTTAAAATTCCATTTTTTTCAATACAATAACAAAAAGAGAGAAAAACTATAAACAAGGTTGGCTAAACTGTCAGAATTAAGTGTGGCAAGATGGCTGCCACGTATATCCGACAAGAATCGCGACATTTGACGCTAAACATTAACAGCGGGTTTGTTTTTTTAATTTAGAAATTGTGATAAGAGTGATTGAGTGTCTGTAATCCATGTGGACCACTTGGTGTACACTCGATGAAAAATTTTATTCTGGCGGCCGGTCGCGGCACGCATTAAAACATGTTCAGCAAAAAACTTCACGTAGACGTCAAAAAGTCAACCCACAAGATCCAGGACGTTAAAAAAGATAGTGCCACAAGATTTAAGCATCTAAAAATTGTTTTAGGTAATATGAAAAATAATGACAATATCATTTTTTCATTTGTTGTCAAAAAATATTTTTATCTATTCATCTGTCATCTACAGTTCATCTAACCTCAAGAAATATAATCCTGGACAAGGGGGGTAACGGGGAAAGGAATAAAAATATTCTCTCTTAAGTACTTCCCACGTAATCACAAATCACTGAGAATCAACTAAGACACAAGAAAATTCTAAATCCACTTTTACAAACATTTTTGTTTCTAATTATTATGCATATGTAACAAACTTTGTTTACCATAATCATTTGTATAACTACTGTCACAAATTGTACTATATCTTTTTTTTTTTTTTTTTGTATTTTATATTTGATTTTGTAAACATATTTCTATTATTACTAATGAGAAATCTTATTTAAAATTTAAATTCAAATCATTCCAATAAAAACCTTGAATATGACTTTATTTTCCAATTATTTAAAAATTAAATATCCTCAAGTTGAAGTTTTATAAAGAATAATAGATGACATTTAAAACTTTGTAAACAAGTATTTTTTAAGTTGGAAAAAATTATTCAGTTACTTGTAAACTCCATTATTTAACTTATTTTAATTAAAAATTGTTAATTAAAAAAATTTCCTTATCATTTAATTCTTTTAAATTTATGTTAATTTGATTTAAAAAATTCCTTCACTTCTAATATAAAAAAATAATTGTTTATTTAAATCATTAAAAAAAATGACAATTTAAGAAATATTTTATTATAAAATTATTAAATCACCGGATCATTTGCCTGTTAAAATCATTTTGACCTACATTCACAGTTAATATTACGACATTTCATTTTAATGCATTCACATCTGTTTTTGATTTCATAGAATAATATATCAAATGTTCAGCTTTGATTTTGAAATAAATTTTTAAGTTTTTATTTTGTAAATAATTATGCACAATAATTATGTTCATTTTAATCATCGTGAATTAATTATATTAAAAATAATACAAAATATTAATTACAGATAATGTGGATATTGACGAAGCAAAAGGCTTCTTCGAAGGAAATTTTAGTCACGTTTATTTTATTTTATACGACTGTTTTGTGTCAGCAGAGGCAAATCTTCGTCAACGTGGTACGAAAAAAAGAAAAATGTTACGCACAATAAACTAATTCTAAAATGCTTGCTTTTTCTAACTTAATCTTTATTTTTTTTCACTTTTTAAATTTGCCACAAAAAGCAATATCTGATTTTATTTTTAAACTAATTTATACTAAAATTTATACAAAAAGAGAAATATTATTAATTGTCAAGATTCTAAATTTGTCAATTATAAAAAAGTGAAAAAAACAATACTTTCTTTATAATTATTCACAATTATTAATAACAGGGTCTATTTACTAATATATTTTTTATGCTCATTCTTGCCAATCTTTGCTGACAGAACTTTCCTTCCATCTTGGTGAGTAAGCTTTGCTTTCTATTTTTTTTTTTTTTAATTACCAATTAAAAAGAACAAAAAACTAAACAAAAATTCGAAATTCAGATTTTGAAAAGAAATTATTTTTTACTAAATTTTAAAATTGAAATTTTTAGTGCACAAAGCACATAGAGAAGAATTAGAGCAAGTTCTACAACTCTTGGAAAAAGTTTTAACACTTCTGCCAGAATTACTGAATAGAAGATGGCAATGTCACAGTTTAGCAAGAATTTTGCACAAGCTGTTGCATCCGGGCAACAGTTGGAAACTTCGCCGACAGGCTATAAGGTAAATTATTACGAATAATTAAAAAAAAAAAGAACACAAAAATTAAACGAGAAAATAGAAAAAGAGACCCTAAAAAAATATTAATAATTAATATTCATTTCAGGTACTTCATTTTATGGTACCAAGCATTAGGAGACAATGCTCCGGATCATATTCATCAGATGTTTGCCTGTCTAGTGCCTGGATTTCCTCCACGACAACCATCACCCTACAAATCGGAAAGAAAATCAAATGGAAAAAATTCTCGAACAACACCAAAAGCAAGTTGCGACGATATAGATAAAAGTTTTTACGATACACAATTAACGGAAACAATTTTTCATGATGGAAATTCAAATCATGGACCGATTAGTCAAGTTGATGGTGGTCCAATATTACCACCTCAAAGTGGAGAGAAACCATTGGATAATGAAACTGTTCAATTTTTGGAAGCCTTATTGGAATTCATGGTCACTCAGGTGAAGATATAATTGTTATTTTATCGAATTTTTTAAGATTCATTATAAAAAATAAATACCGTAATAAAAATAATACAATTTTTTTTTTTAATTTCTAATTTTTCAGGTAGTGAAAGTAGAATGGAGGGATAAACATACACGTCAATATAAATCATTTCAATTTTTACTCGAACGATTTAAAGCCACCTATCTTCGTTACATTTGTCCAGATTTTAATGATAATTTTTCTCTCTATAAGCCAAATTTGGAATTGCCTATGATGCGCAAGCCAACTAATCAGAATGATAATTATATTCTCTGTAAGGTAGCTCTTATCAAATGGATTGCAAGTTACACTCACGTCACTAAAAAAGAGGGCCCATTCGCTCAACTTTCTCAAAAGTAATTTAAATTTATTTATTAATTTCTATTTTTTATAGTTAATCAATTTTTCAATTAATTTTTTCAAATTACAGTTCAACTTCAACCGATGAAAGCACAGAACCAGATTTACGTCGCGTTTCAGTTCATCAAAATTCAACAGACTCCAATTTATTATCACCTGAATCGAATCCAAGTCAACATGAAAGTTTGACTCAAGAGGACAGTGCCTTATCGGCAGTAGCCTTAGTTCGTGAAGTTTTATACGGAAATCGTGATAATGTGAATTTCATTCATGAATTATATCGACAGGCATTTTTATTAGATTTCACACACGCTGGAGCAATTCGCAAGGCGATTGGCGCTTATAAAGACTGGATACAAATGAATGTAAGATTTATTTAATTTTGTGAAAAGCAAAAAAAAATTTTTTAAATTAGAAAAATTAATTTTTAATATAAATTCCTAGGAGATTCCACCATTTATGTTGGAACCATTAGATGGACACAGGGAAAGAGATTTAGAAGACTGTCATAATAAAAAAGAAGATGCTGACAAAAGCCCTCAGGAATATCATAGGCATACTCGATTAAGAAATGATTCTTATTTAGGAGCAATTCATCGAGAAAATTTATTTGTTAGAGCAGGATTGCAAAGTGTTTTACAAGTGTTTATTACACAAGCGTCAAATGTATTTTTCTTAGAATCAATCGGAGGGAATGCATCAGCAACACTTTTAGAGGAGCAAACAGATAGTTGTAAAAGAGTTTTAAACGTATATCGTTACGTTGTCATGCACACGAGACTCGAACCATCAACCTGGGAGCAGCTCCTCAGGTATAAAATAATTATAATTAAAAAAAAATTAAAAATATAAATTTTTTTTTTCAAAAATTAATTTTTTCAGGGTATTATTACAAATAACCTCGCTGGTACTTAGCGGGAAAAAACGAAAGAATCACGAAAGTATCGGTGGAAAATTGGCACCTGCAATTTTCCAAACTCTCATTGTAACATGGATAAAAGCTAATTTAAATGTTGTTATCTCAACACAACTTTGGGACCAGTTCCTTCAAGTTTTAACCTCCTTAACACAATGGGAAGAATTAATTCGCGAATGGGCGGTAAATTTAATTTTATAAAAATTTAATTAATTTGTTTTTCATATTATTTTTAAATTTGGAAACATA